AGGGCATGGAATTCAACAGAAAGCCAACCACTTTCATGGCAAGGGCAGTGAAAAGCATCCTTCGGCCGTGCGGCATAACCCCGTGCCCCATAAGAAGAGGGGCCCTGACCCACGCGGCAGCAGTCGTTTGTTGAGTGCCTTTCTTAGCCTCCGCCCTCCGAATGCAGTTGGGGGAGGCGCATGGATCCACTGGAATTCCCCTAAGGCCTGGTTTGTTACTTCGACCATTGGGTCGAGGCCAATGGAACAACGAGGCAGCGACCATCGATAAAGCTTTGAGAGCGCGCAGAATTTAAGCCGCATGGGGACATGCCGCTTCAGAAAGTAACCCAGAGGATGGGATTTATACAGATCATGGCATTAAACGGCATAGTCATTGCGAAGGGGGTAGTTGCTTACGCCTAGGCGCGTGATGGGCGAGTTTAAAAAAGAGTATTTCAGTGCTTCCCTTTTGTCAGTAGCACTCCTTCCCCTCCAAATAGGGTTTGTTGGAAACACCAGATGAAATTCTCCTCCATACAGTGGAGGAAAGTAGGGCTCATTTTTTTTTTTGTGTATTTTTTTTGGGTGGGGGCTATGGGGCAATTTCTCACGACTTGGTTGTCGTGTAGGGGTTTGGCAGCGCTTTGCGTTTCTTTGTTTGAGCCGTTTATTCTTCCCTCTTTCACTGCTATGGGGCCTTTTCTTTCCGTGATGGTTGATATTGCTTTGTGTGTGGCAGAAGTAGGGTAATACACACACCCCTGACGGACGCTCTGTTGCGCAATGGCGCTTGTGGAGCCTCTGGTGGGGCACCTGCTGTCCAAGTACGCGGACACCGTCATGGAGGGCCTGACGAAGATCCGCAGCGGCGCCGCGTCGGAAGGGTCATTCGCCACTGAGTTCCTGCTACACCCGCAGGGGTTCGTCGTGCTTCAGGAGCTGATGCAAAGGCGCGAACTCTGCCCGGTTGCGCTGCAGACAGTGACGCAGTTGGTTGAGACGTGCGACAACGTGGGCGTTCGCTCCAGTGCGCTGCGGGACATGTGCCGGGGGAAGCCGCTATGGGTGCTGCGAAAGGCGCTTGCCACTCTCTCGGATGCGACACTGCCAACAACAATGGCCGCACTGCAATTCCTTTCCGTTGCTGCCAAGTATGTCCCCAAAGTGGTGCTTTCCAGGTTTGATAACGTTGTGCCACTTCACTTGTCGTGTTTTCGACTCCAACTTCCCTACTCCCAGAGACGTGTTCGATTGGCGAGGACAGAGTTCCTACTCAACCTTGTTGTATCCGCGCAGGCGAGTGCAGTTGAGATGGTGTTGTGCACTCACGGCTACCTTACTCACCTGCTAGAAGATGCCGCGGAACTCCTGCAGGAGGGTACTGAAGTGGGGGTGGATGTTGCACGTGCGGCGCTACGCGTATTTGGGGAGCAGTTCATGGAGGGCCGCATTCCACCATCACAGAAGCGCACGGTTCTGTTGGCACAGAAGCACATCATACGTCTTCTTGTTAAAGCACTCGACTATACGTTGGTATCTGAATACGCGGCCAATATTTTGTACCGCATGGCGGTGGAACTCGTGGAGTCTCCATCGGACTACCAGGTGATGCGCCTCGATGCAGAAGACAGGGGAATGCCGAACTACCTGCTCTTCTTCATCCTGCGGCAGTTGCGGCCGAAGAATTCCCCTGTCTCTGCACGTTTGGTAATCTTTATTCTGCATCAGGCGCCGGATTTAATTCGCCCCTATTTCACAAGAGTTTCTGCCCATCTCAGTGATGACGGCAATAGTTCCCGCATTTCTGAAACTACGGCAGCTGTGGCTACGTTGAACTTGATGACGCGGGCCATGCTGGCGCCAATCCCGTATCACTTAGCCGCTGCTAAGGCGAAGCTTCAACCTGTCGATGCGAAGGCGGTAACATTCTTCACTATGAATGCAGAACACGTTGTGGAGGAGATATCCCCTGCCTGGGTGGCTGAATATGTGCATCGTCTTATCATTGGATCTAGTGACCTCCTGATGCTTTCATTTGCCATTCAGCTGACACACGCGATCCTTACACGGGCGAAGAGCATCCTACGCCTTGTCCTGAAGCTCCAGGATACGCAGTGCTCTGAGGAAAACAATGAAGGAAACCGCCAGGAATGGGAAACGTGGGATGCGAAGGTTCAAGCGGCTCTTTTGAGGGCTGTTCCTCGCCGAGAAGAATTCTGGCACCGCATGACACAGCAGCTTCACCCAATGTTGGCACCACAGCCTCGTCAAAAAGAAGGCGCCGAGCCAAAATTCGCAGAGAAAGCCACCTTTCTATCGCAGCGTATGTACCTCCTTATGGAGCTCTATGGTGAGGTGTTTGATCTGCGCATGTCGTGGCTTAGCGCTGTTCCGTCATTTCTCCCGACATTTCGCGCATGTGCTCGTCCCATTGAAGATGCGCTTCATCGAGGAGAAGGTGTGGTTACAACATGGCCAGCCTCCAGCATCTCTGCTCTTTGTTCGCTTCTTGTCTCAACTCTCTCGAGGGGTGCACCCATGACAAAGCTCTATCATATCACGATGAGCAGCCCGAAGAAGGGTGTCTTGGAGTGGCCGCTCTTACTGAGTGTGATGCTGTGGGCAGTAAAGCACCGCAGTCCCAGTGACGAGGACAGTCAAGTGGCATGGGCATGGGTGGCGCGGTTGATTCAATGGACCGTGCACAGCGCGACGGTGCGCTTCGTGTGTGAGTTGGAGGAAGCCTTCTTATGGCTCACGGTATTGGACGAGTCAACACTGCCATGTTTTCTGCATCTGATCAACTACTTGCTGCAGCGGAGTTTGTCAAAGTCTGCCGACCGCATTGCACAGGAGCTGATGCAAGGCGACACGGGTGTTATTGTCTGCGCCGCCCGTGCCTTTACGACGACCAAAGGCGAGGGAAAAACCGCATCTGAAGACGTCGCCGCGGAGACAGCCAAGGAGCAGCAAACGAAAAAGAAACCGCAGAGGCAGCAACATAAGGATAACCGTGCAGAAGGCGACAGCCAATTGTGGGCTGAGGACTTGCGAGAGCACTTAAATGCGTTCAAGGACGCAACGGAAAAGGTTGCGAACGAGTGGTCGTGTCGCAACCAGCGCATGAGAGAAATGTTGCCAAGCGTATTTGGTGCGTATAATAGTCAATCTGGCAAGCGGCGTATTGCTTTGACGGTTCTGCAAGCCGAAAAGGAGCACCGGGCCCTGCGGCCTCTGCATGATCAAGTCCGTGAATTCTGCAAGACGCTGCAACCACTGACGCCAGCGACAGACGCAGAAGAGGAGCTGGAATTGCTCTCGCTGATCCGCAGCGGCTCAGTGCGAGAGCTGCGGCAGCGATTCACCAAGTGCCGTGCCTCCGTCTGGTGCACGTATCCGACAGCTGGATGGGAACTCGCGGGGTTTCTTCTGCGATGCCTCAACAGGCAGGGTGGGAAGCTGAAGGAAGGCCCCGACGATGCGGAGGATGGACTTGAGAACATTGCGGCGTTGTGTCGATCACTGCTGAAGTGCGTCGCAGACGATGCAAGCGCCCTCGCACAAGTTCTCCTTGATCGTAGTCGAGCTGAAGGAAACTTTGTTGGGTTTCTTTTGTTCCTCTTGGCAGCTCTGAGGTTGCTGTTGCACGAACAGGTCGTGCGTCCAATTTCAAAATTGTCGCCAAGGAATGCCTTCCTTGATGAGGATACAGCGAAGCAGTTGTCAAGTCTTCTTCTGCGTACGTACTCGGGAACTGTGTCCACCACGGATCGCATTCGATACACCACACTCCTTACGATATGCTACCTGCAACGGCAACAGCAGCAGGGCGACTTGGGAATCACATCGGTAGCTGCTGACGGTATTGATGAGGTGAGCAGCAATGAAGCTGACGGGGAGACGGGGGAATCGCGCAGGCATGCCACTACGGGCGTCTTCAGTGGTGTTGTGGTGCCAGGAGCGTTCATGGACCACCGTTTCCTTATCATGAACCACCAGAGCGCGCCAAACGTTGCCCCAGAGGTCGATATGATGTCGCTGCTTGTCGACACATGGACAGACGAGGAAGTCTCTACTGCCGCCTTGCAGTGCCCCTCACGGCTTCACAACACGATACTGGTGAGTGGCAAGGACGATGCCGGGTGGGACTTGTTGCGCAGCATATTTCCAGAGCTCTCCACGCCAGAGGATGTTGCACTGGCAACATTCGACACACTCACAGCGTCCACAGTAATGGACCCACGCTATCTGGTGCCGCTGCTCCACACCGTGCTCGCCATGCCAGCAGAGCAGTTGCCGCGCAAGAACATTGGCACCAAATGCATACCAGTTCTCATGCGGTCACTTTCCTTCACCGACCCGCAGCTACGCCGTCTGGGGGCAACAGCACTGGGAGCTGTGTGGACGCCGAGCGGTCCGACCCGAATTGTGGTCGGTTTTGCCCGGCTGAAGCTCACACAACTCGCTGCCAAGAAAGCGCGTCCTATGAAGCCGCAGCAGCAGCAGCAGCAGCAGCAGCAGCAGCAGCAGCAACAACAAAAAGGAGAAGAATCGGTGTGGGGATGCCCGAGGCTCCCTGCTCCCATCTCTGCCTTTCTGGTGATGGCGCTGCGGCCCCTTGGTGACGCCGAATATCCCCTTCACAACGATATCATGCGCTTCTTGATGGAGACGCAGGAGGCCTTCTCGAATCCCGTTCCACTTCATCGATTTCTGGTGTCTTTTCCTCTCGCGTGCATCACAACGCCATTGATGATAAAGCGCCACGAGGTAACTCAGGGAAAGGCGAAGGGTACCATTGCGACTTCCTCTGCAGAAGAAGTGGTCCGGCAGCTGCGGTCTGAGGCACCTATTCATTTGGATTTCATTACCCGGCTGATCCAGTTTGGCTGCCACACAAACGGCGACATGATGGCCCTTCTCCGATCCGAGTCCCTCCATGCGATGATGATGATGACCTCCATGACCACTGCCTCCGCAGAAATCCGTCTGCAATTTTTGCAGTGCATCCATGCTGTGTGCACTACCTCAGCGGCCGTCGCAAAGCAGGCCATGCAGGATGGTCAGCTCCTGCAGTGGCTACTTGGTTTTGCGTGCCAGTTGACCAGCGAGTATGGCGCGTCCGTTTACTTGTACGGTGAACCTCTCTTCATGGAGGTGATTTTGTTGCTGCAGAAGCTCTGCCCGCTTGCTCTCGCCTCGCCACTGCACGCGCAGCAGGTCGAGCAGCAGGTCGAACACATTCGCGACGCTCTGGTCGCCAATCACGTGACGACGAAGGACGTGCTGGATGGAATTGACGGCATTCTGCGGGAGATGCGCAGCGCAGAGACGCATCCGCCAATGCCGCTGCAACGGAAGCGGTGGGCGCCCCACAACAACGGACGCACAGCGGCCAAGGTGAGGCGGAAGTGAGGGAAGAAGCGTGCTTCGTTGTTTCCGTTTTTCGTAAAAAATGAAGAAAAGAGAGAGAGAGAGAAATCTTCTCCCACGGTCCTAATGCACACAAGGTGTACACACGGTTAACGGGCATGCCCTTTAAACAAGAAGAAGAATGAAAGCAAAAAAAAAAAAGCAAATAAGAAATGCCAGCAACTGCGTGGTGGTGTCCCCGCCCCTCTTGTGTCGATTCACCGCCCTTGGTGTCTGTATGGATTGGATAACGGCTTTGCGTTTTTCTTTTGTCTTTTTTTTTTATTGGTGGTGGGGTGGGCGTCTTCCTCTCCGCTTGTATTCTCTCTGCGCCCATAAGTGCTGTGCGTGCGCAGGCACGATAGACGGCGGTCGCAGCAGCAGAAGCTGTTGCCTCGCATGAATTGCTACTGCAGTGCCCCGGTGAAGTGTACACTTACAAAGGCTGGCACACCAGCCTTCACATGTGCAGCGAACAAATGCCGCTTTATGGCGTTGACGCCGGTGCAGGCAAGCGGGTACCGTCGAATTGTGGCGCAGCCTGGCGAGACGCATGGTGTCGCGGTGGTCCGCTTCGAGGCGGTGCTTCATCCAGAAACGAAGGCGATGCACGTCACCGCTACCGGGCCAACGGGCATGGACGATGCGTTACTGGAGGTGCTGGAGGAGGAACAGTATAAGCCAAGTTGGTACGTGGAGAAGAAGGCATACCTGTACCCGATGGATTCCTACGGCCCTTTGGTCTCGGCGCTAAAAAGACTGGGGAAGACAAAGGTGGACGTTGAGGAGATTCCATCGTTCTTCTTTCGTTGTGTGCAGGCCGCCCAGGAGATTCAACTGCAGCATGAGTGTAACGTTGAGGGTGGCGCCTCGCAGAGGCCCGATATCGAGGATGTTGTCTACGCCCAGCTGCGACCGTTCCAGCGGAAAGGTGTGGATTTTATCATATCCCGTGGCGGCCGCGGCATGATCGCAGATGATATGGGACTCGGCAAGACAATTCAAGCGCTCGCAGTGGCGCACCACTACCGAGACGAGTGGCCTGTCCTCATTGTGTGCCCCTTGTCACTTGTGGAGAATTGGGCGAAGGAATTCACGCGATTCTGCAGCATTCCAATGGGACGGATTGCCATTTTGCAGACAGGCAAACTGAGTGTGACAGATGTGCACAGTGTTGTGATTGTGCCGTATTCGTCTCTCAAGTGTCTTGATGGAGTAGCGCTAACCTTCAAGGTCGTAGTATTGGATGAGTCCCATTACATTAAGACAGTAGACTCCAAGCGTACGGTTGCGACACTTAAAATATGTCGCGACGCAACTCGTGTTTTGCTGCTGTCAGGGACCCCTACTTTGTCAAGGCCGATTGAACTGTACCCGCAGCTGCAGGCCATCATGCACCCATCTTGGACCCCAACCAAGTCCCAGTTCGGTGCGCGGTACTGCAACGCCTTCGTGAGTCGCTTTGGGGTTGACTACACCGGTCACTCAAACATGAGTGAGTTGCATGTTTTGCTGCAGCACTTCGCAATCCGTCGAACAAAAGTGGAGTTGGGCAATGAGCTGCCTTCAAAGAGCCGTCAGCTGCTTTATGTGTACGTCACACCCAAGGAGAGGAAGGCCCTGGAGAAAGGCGTGGCAGCACTTCGAAAGTCTCTGAAGGACGGAGGTGGTCTCTCAGCTGATGGAAACGCTGCTTCCGCTGAATACTCTTCTTCGCCCCGAGCTGGGAGTGCCCTGGACCTTAAATCTGCAACAGCAAGAGCGAAGGTGGCTGCTGTGCAGGACTACGTGCGGAGCATCGCCGAACAGATAGTGGAGTCTGGCCAGAAGGTGATTTTTTTCGCACACCACCGATGCATGATGGAAGCCATACGTGGCACTGTCGAGAAGGTGCATCCCGCAGAGCCGTTAGATTTTATTTACATCGTTGGCGACACACCAGCGGCCCAGCGGGACGAACTCATTCGGCATTTCCAAACGCAGGCGAGGTGCCATGTCGCGATTCTGTCGATGCAGGCGTGCGGCGTTGGGCACAACCTGACATGCGCCACGATGGTTGTCTTCGCCGAGCTGGACTGGAACCCAAGCACCCACCTGCAGTGCGAAGACCGCGTCCACCGCATGGGACAGGTGTCGACGTGCGTCATCAAGTACCTCCTCGCGGAGGGCACCTCCGACAGCGTCATTTGGCCCATGCTGCAGACAAAGCTGACGGTGACGCACGCCGTGCTCGAGGACGCGGCGGCGGGCGGTGACGGCTGGAGCGCCGGTGCCGACACAAGGCGCGTTGCTCGCACGGACGTCTGTCTCACCCCGTCCTCACAGGAGAGACGGCAGACAACGCTTGAGGCATACCTCTCCAGTTCGGGCTCGCGCTCATGCCAGACAACGCAGAACGGCGAGAGCGGTTCCGACGCGAGAACACCAGTGGCGAAAAATGGACCGGCGGGAGCATCACGCGAGACGCCCGGCAGGAGTCAAACCGCTGCGGCCACAGCAGCAGAAGCAGAGCCGGTGCTTCTCGACATTGCAACGCTGCGCCAACGACGTGAATCCAACCGTGTTTCTACTGCGCTACCGCCGAGTCCCAGAGGCAGTGGATTACTTCCTATTTCTGTTGATGCCCCTGATCCTGCTGCTGCTTCTTCTTCTGTACCGGTTCTTGCAGTTCCTGTTGGTGCTGCTCAGCGTCAGGCGACACTGTTGCAGGCACCAACAACTTTAAACAATTCTTCAGCTGCGTCGCAAGGCGCGGCACGAACGAAAACTGCCTTTCGCGTCTCGGTGGCGACCGCGGCGCCGGGTGTGTCGTCCACTCTGTCCAGTGCAAGCACGCGCTCAAATGGAACAGCTCCTTCACCGCGATCGCACACCACCGTGAAGTTGCCGTTTGTGGTTCGGCCTTCCTCCACAATCGGTTCTCCCACCCCTCCCAGTACGCATCCCTCTGTTGCGGCTCCAGTTGCTACTATTAGTACTGCTGTTACTGCTACTGCTAGTAGTAGTACTGCTTTTGTTGGCTGTGGTGAACAGGTGCGGCTGGCTCCCGCTCCTCGATCTGAGGAGCTCCGCCGCTACAACGCCCGCCGAACGCTTTTCACTGTCGGTAGTGTTGGCGAAAAGCGGCCGAGGTCTGATGGTGGAGAGAATAACGCAGCGTGAGGCGCTTTCCAATTCCCCTATGTCTTTCTACATGTGTCTCTGTGTGTATTTTTGATGTTGGAAATCCGCGGTGGCAACGACTGAAGCGTGCCCTTCCACTGTTTTCCCTTCTTCTTGTTATTTGGTGCTCTCACGTACCTGTTTTCTGTGGTGCATCGTGTATGCAAAAAAGGGGCGGTGGGGAAAACCTCTCCAAAGGGGCTGTGTGTGTGTGTCGGTGTGTGCATGTCTCCGCACGCGACGTCCAGGCGGGCCAAGTCGCGCCGCTGGCGATCACTCCCTTTGGTCCTATTCGTTGCATTCGTGGTGTTCATATTCTGGCTGCAACCGAAGCAACCTCTCCGCGGCGATAAGCAGGCGGCTGGCAAGACGGACACGCCAGTGAATGCGGCAATAGGGAAGGACGACCAGCTGGATGGCGCTGCCCTCCACCTCGTGGCGATGGATCTGCAGCGTGGAAAGACAATGAACCTAAGTGAAGAGCGCGAAACACTTCTGCGATGTGCATTCCTTACTTTGTCAGCTGTGGACGCCTGTGCGAAGATGTTTAGTACCGTATTTGGCGCGGCAGAGAAGCAGGGGGGTGCAGGAGCCGTTCTGCTGTTGCCGCTAATGCCAGACTGTCCTGACAAGAACGTTCCTGGTGATGTGGCGACGGATTTTCTGCGTGGGACGAGCAGCACCATCATGCAACAACTTCCCATTCAAATTGGCAAGATGCGGCGGAAAGCGGAAGAGAACGGCCTAGCGTTCCCGTCCTTAGAATCGCTCCGTGAGGGCATCCTGCGGGCGAGTGCACCACGCTGTGAAAACGCATCGCTGCCCGCCCGCCTGAAAGCCCCCCACGACCTTGCTGGCGAGATCAGCGACGTGCAGGTGGTGAGCGCGGAATACCTGTTTCCCGATACCCATTCCTTCTCTGTAGACACCGCGGTGGCCAATGTGGTTGGGGCGGCAACCACAACATATCTCCTGTTGCCGCAGCCACCTTCGACCTCACGTGTGCCTGTCGTCGTGGACACGTTTGTTAAAGTGGTGGCGAAACACAACTGTGATGTGGTGCACCTCACGTCAAATACTGCTGAGAGCGAGAGGGCCGGCGCGACACATTCCACAACGCTGATGTGGCGTGTGCGGTGCCCCCACACCAAGCCGGCGGAGTCGCCTGAGTCAGCGGGCCGATCACCGTTGTGGCACCGCGTCGATGTAGCGGCGCGGTCACCGCTGCTGTGCGAGCATCTCACAGACCGCCTCGTACTCTCGCGCGTCGTCAAATACGGGACGAAGACGGCCGTCCTGCGCGGGCAGTGGCGAGGCAAGGAAGTGATGGTGAAGGTGCTGCACCCCTACCACTACTTCAGCTTCCAGGGGCTTCGCGTCTTCATGCAGGCGCTGAGGAAACGCAGCCCGCTGATCCATTACCCCACCTTCAGCTGCTACTCCACAACACACGATGCCATCTTCCAGTTTCAACAGTTTCTCAGTGGCTACACAACACTAAATTCGCTCATGCTTTCACGTGGCAAACATGGGGCGTTATCGCTTCGGCAACGCGTGGAAATTGCTGTGCAAATTGTTTGCATCTTTCAGTTCTTGCACGAGGAACACCCTGCGGGGCTATTTGCATACAGTGATAACCACCCCAGTCAATACTTGCTTAAGGAGGGTAGTGACGGACTATTTCACGTGCGTCTCATTGACATTGATACCCTCCAGCAGGGTATTGCCCAAGCCATTACGGATACGCCGTACCCATACAGTAACTACAGCTTGCGCTGTCGCTGTTTCTATTGCAGGGGACGCTCTAATTGTTTGTTTTATAATACATACGAGGCGTACAAGGCCTGCGGTCAGCTTCAGGATAGGCACGCGTGGAATTCCGAAATGCCACATGCTGCGAGCGATGGCCGTGTGTGTGATGGTAGCACAGACATGTGGTTTGAGGCGCAGCTGCTTTATCTTCTGTTTGATGGAACTCCGGCATGGAGCTCCGTGGGGCGTGACGACCTCCTTCACCGAATTGAGATGCGCGCGGTCCCTTCATTAAAAAGAGACTGGTCCGCAGTGAAAGCAGACTACAGTGAGGCTGTGAGCGAAGTGCTGTCTCACATGTTCCTCTCACGTCCCAAAGAAGAGTCAGTGCTGCAGAAGCTGCGGCACCTCTGCGAAGTGGTGGGGTGCAGGGTGGCGGCGAAGTGCCCAGCACCGGTTCCGTCGTCAACGGGCCTCTACTCGTCGCCGCTCAACCTGCAACTGCGCTGAGGTGGGATGCAGTGTGTGGCCTCCGTGGGCGTCTGGTCTTACTATTCGTTGTTGTTGTTGTTTTTTGTGTGTGGGTGGGTGGGTGAAGGAGGGGGTTACGCGCATGTGTGTGCATGCCACCACCGCCACGTGGTGCCTCCTATGGGTGCTTTGGGTGTGTGGAGAAGAATCAGAGCCTTGGGACTCGTCCTCTCTCTCTCTCTCTCTATCTCTCTGTTTTTCTTTGTTGTCGTTTTGTTTTTGTTTTTCTTGTTGATCCCTAATTCTTCACACGACCGTACGACGCAACAAAAGGGCCAGGCGACGGTATGGGGATGAACTTACTTGAGACTGCCAATGGGTTCGTCGGCCGCGACGTTATTTTTCGGCCGATTCAATTCGAGCGGTACCGGAAGCCGTGTGTGGTGAGTTACCCCCGCCGTGCGGTGGTGCTGAACCCAAACCACACGCGCGAGCATCGTCGCGATGTGGGAGAAAGGGGCGGGAAGAACGACGCTGCATCCAGCAGCAGCAGCAGCAGCAGCAGCCGAAGTGAGGACGACGAAGACGTTGACGATGATGACCCGCTGCACCTCGAGGAGGAGCAGATGGTGTGCAGCAACGAGCAGCTCAAGCAGCAGCTTCATCTGCGCTGGCGCCACATCGGCCCCAGCGGCTGCGGGCTGCGCAACTTGGGCAACACGTGCTTCGCCAACAGTGTTCTCCAGGCGCTCGCCTACACACCGGCTCTCGCGCAGTATTTCGCCAAATCGTTTAAAGCCCCGTGCTCAAACGCTGTGGGAGCTTCGTACGACTTCGCGTACGCATTGGGTGAGACGGTGCGGAGGATTCACGCGACGCCGAGTGGGGTGTACCGCCCGGCGCTCATCGTCTCCCACCTGAAATCTCTCTCCCCACAGTTTGAGTTGGGCCGCCAGTGTGACGCCCACGAATTCGCGTGTCACCTGCTTCATGCTTGCAATCGCTCCATTTTGTTCCGCCAGCTTGGCTCGACAAAGGTGCCGCTGCGCATAGAGCAGACAAGTGCGTTGCAGCGCATTGCTGGCGGCTGTCTTCGCTCTGTGGTGTCGTGGAACCGGCGGGAAGAGATCCAGCGCCTCATGAATGCCGGCAAAGTGCAGGACGCGAGTGACTTGAAAATGAACAAGCGCGGCAGCAGCAGCAGCGATGTGCTAGAATCTAAAACGTACGACCCCTTTGGTATCCTTAATGTGGAGGTCGAAGGGCACACGCTGAGCCACTGCCTCGCGAAGCTCTGCGAGAAGGAAAAGCTGGACGGACGCAGCTACATCAGCCCCCGCGGGGTGGGCGTGCATGCCACAAAGCAGTTTCGGATCCACAAATTGCCATATGTCCTCATCATCCACCTGAAGCGTTTTGACTGCATGAACCGGAAGGTGAACAAGTATGTGCAGTATCCAAAGGTGCTTGATATCGCCCCCTTCTGCACAGAGGAGGGCTTACTGCGGGCGACGAATCGCCGTAGGAGCGCCAAGAGCAAAGAAGGCTCTGCGTGTCTGTATGAGCTCAATGCTGTTTGCGTTCACGAGGGCAGATCTCTCACCTATGGCCACTACTACAGTGTCGTACGTGCTCGCAACGGCACATGGATGTTGTGCAATGATGAGCATCTGTCCCACTGCAACGAGGAGGATGCGCTTCGTCAGCAGGCGTACATGCTCTTTTACACCATGGTGGAACAGCCCTCTTCCCATGCAGCTGACGCCCGCAAGATGAGTTCAGGCGCCTTGCAGGAATGGGGAAAACACCACAGGCCGACATCAGCACCAGCAGCAATGCCGAGTTATGGAAAGGAAGACACGGAAACAGACATCGGGCGTCAGCTGACGGATGAGGAGGTTGAGAGGATAAGAAGGGAGAGAATAGCCGCACGGCAGGGCACGCTGCATACCGCCAATGGCAAGGACAAGGCAATGTCACGCCACTCAAGTGAACAGAGTAAAGAAGCTGCAACCGCGGGGGAGCGACAGGCAGGAGAGAAGGGGTACAGCAGTAGCAACGGGGACGACGACAGCGACGGCAACGGGGCGGCGGATGAAGAAGACATATTTGCATCAACCGTCGCCACTCCTGCCCGGAAGGAGAATACGGCGTCGCGCAACGGGCAGTCCGGCGCAATGTACCGCGGCATCATTAAAGCCATCCATCGCCCGGCGCTGCCGGCAGCAGCACACACGGCTGAGGCCGGCAGCCGCGTTGTTGGCCCCCGCGCGGCGGCAGCAGTGCAGGGGATGAGGCAGCAGTCGCTTTCCACCACCGTCGCCCGCCCGCTGCACGCGCCCAAGTTCCAGCAGCGTGTGCGTGACCCGCTGTGGGAGATCGAGATGGACCGCGGCCGCGTGAAGCGGCTTCGCACGCGGCGCGACGACTACGACGGCGAAAACAAATTCCAGAAGTCCGACATCGCGTTCGACAGCCGCGGGAGGCGGCGCCGTGAGAAGTGAGCGCGTACCGTTCACTCGTGGCCAGGAGCACTTAAGCGCACGAAGAGAAGCGATTAAAAGAAGGGGTGGGGGA